CAAAGCAGTCTAAACCCAGTTCAGATTCCATGACTACCTCAGGTACAATCGCTGATAGAGGAGTGCTTATGATCTTATTTTTAATAAGATCAATCTTATTTATAAAGAATCCCATAAAATCATTGCTGCTAAGAGCAGGTGGAATGGACGGTTCAACAGAGCTATGGCTCTGGGTGAGTTTGGCAACTGTATTAAAAAGAAATCTAGGATTATTCTTATTCTCCTCTATTAATGAGGAGAAGTATGCTGCTCTTGCTTTACAAAGGGTCCTCTTATACAGCAGTAAACCATTTTTCCAGACTAGGAAGGACTCTCGCAGGCCTGTGGAGCGATATTTTCTCTCCAGTTTCCTAGCATTTTGCTTCAAAGTACGCAGCTCTGCATTAAACCAAGGAGCAAGCTTTCTATTTTTAACGGTTTTCATTTTCAAAGGAGCTGCGTTGTCTAAGGCAATACGCAGAGAACTAGCAACCCCCTCAACAAAATCATCAACCTGTGAAGGGGAATAAGCTAAGCTTTTGCACTCTGCAGCACTGCTCAGTGACACAGAGCAGAGAGAAAGTGAAGCAGATTCTTTAAAATTTATAACTGCACTATCTGATAAAGATCTACTAAAATTGAACCTTCTTTTGGGGGAGGAGAACTCTGTTAAAGTAATCCTGAAGGTTATTAGAAAGTGGTCAGAGAGGACAGGGTTGTGAGGAAATACTGTTATTTCTTCACATTCTATGCCGTATGTCAGCACAAGATCCAAAGTATGAAGATGAGAATGCGTGGGACTATTCACATTTTGAACAAAGCCAATAGTGTCTAAGATAGCATTAAAGGCTGCTCTTAAGCTATCGCCTTCAATGTCAGCATGGATGTTAAAATCTCCCACTATGATGACCCTGTCAGTATTTAATACCAAATCAGAAAGGAACTCTGAAAACTCATCTAAAAATTCAGAGTAAGGACCTGGTGGACGATACAAAGTTACAAAAAGAAGAGGTTTTCTTGCCTTGAAATTTGGATCAGGGAAATTAAGGGTTAAATGTTCAAAAGAGTTGTAGGAATTAATTGTTTTGGGAGTAATCAGTAAGTCAGACTGGAAGATTGTTGCTACTCCTCCTCCTCGCCCAGAACTTCTGGGGATGTGAAAATTTAAATAGCTTGAAGGAGTTGCCTCATTTATGCTCACATAATCCTCTTGCTGCAGCCAGGTTTCTGTAAGGCAAAACAAGTCAATGTGATTATCACAAATCAAGTCATTAACTAGTAGACTTTTAGAGGAAAGCGATCTTATGTTAAACAGACCGCATTTAATTGTTTTAACTTTTTCCCCAATTGGAGTTATTTTGATTTTAATTAGATTATCATGATTTACTCCTTTGGGAATCTTTGCTAATTTATTAGATTTTGGTCGTGGGCAAGACACTGTCTGGATGGAGTAAAGAGTGGGTAACAGTAGAGAAGCTGCAGAGATGTGTGTTAAACTACAACTCTGCTTCCTGGTCTGCACCCTGGGTGGTCAGGGTTTTGGAGGACTAATAAATGTGGCCAGATTCCTAGAAAGAAGAGCTGCACCATCCAAAGTGGGATGGATGCCGTCTCTCCGAATCAGACCAGGCTTTCCCCAAAAGGATTGCCAATTATTAATGTAGCCCACGTTGTTTTCAGGGCACCACCTAGACAACCAGCGATTGAATGACGACATGCGGCTAAACATGTCATCACTGGTCAGATCAGGGAGGGGACCAGAGAAAATTACGGAGTCCGACATTTTTTTGGCAAACTTACACACCGAAGCAACACTAATTTTAGTGACCTCCGATCGGCGTAACCGGGTGTCATTGCCACCAGCGTGAATAATAATCTTACTTTATTTAACCTTATCCTTAGCCAGTAGTTTCAGGTAGGATTTGATGTCGCCCGTTCTGGCCCCCGGCAAACATTTGACTATGGTCCCTGGTGTCTCTAATGCCACGTTTCTGACTATGGAGCTGCCAATCACCATAGTGGGCTTCTCAGTGGGTGTGTCACTGAGTGGGGAAAACCGGTTAGAAACGTGAACGGGTTGGTGGTGACCAGTGGGCAGAGATCCACGACTACGCTTTCTGCGTACAGTTACCCAATCGCCTGGCTGCTCAGGCACTTTTGGAGGACAGCTACGTGGGGGGCCTACTTCAACAGCCTGAAGCCTGGATTCTAACTCTGACACCCTCGCCTCCAAAGCTACAAAAATACTACACTTATTACACATCCCATTATCACTAAAGGAGGCAGAGGAATAACTGAACATCTGACACAGAGAGCAGGAGAGAGGAGAGGAAGAAGGAAGAGTTGGAAAAGAGTCAAGGGAGGGAGAGAGAGAAGCCATAGCAATGCTAAGCTAGCGCTAGCCTAGGCTAGCTACTTCTTGCTATCAGAAATAAAACCGTGTGAAACTGACAAGTGCTCAGTAGAAAAGTGCAGCAGAAGGTGCTATGTTTTAAAGTAGTCAGTTAGAGTTACTTAGATACAGAGATATCACAGAGAAAATAACTTAACTTCAGATGGAGATCCTCTGAACAGCTGCACACTCAGTTGCACACTCAGTTAATCCAAACAGGAAGTTAACAGGTCCAAACAGGAAGCAAGAAGCTTACTGATGTTCATTGAGTGACACAAGTATAGGAAGCTGATTACTATATAAAGTAAGCTTTATCTCACTAGGTGAATACAAGATGTGTCACTTATAATCCAACTGGACTTTTTGACTTAAAATGGAAAAAAAAAAAAATGTTGAAGCTTCCTTGTTTTTAAAACATGTCAACTTTTTTTGACTGGATATTGAATTCCAATATCTGTAGGGTATTTGTCTTTTAGCCAGCGAAGCAGCAGTGCACAGCAAGATGTGGGGGATGGGTGTACTTTTTATCATTTTACTTTCTATGTACTCAATACAGATATATTATCTCTGGTAACTCTGGTTCTTTCTCTGGCATCTCATGAAAAGGCCATTGAAGACCTGAATCATCAACTGGTTGAACTCTTGAAACGCCTTGATACTGATAACCAGCCATGGGCATTAGGTTTGAAAAAAAAAATCCATTATTTGTCTAAGACGCTTTGTAATTCATTCACACTGTTGATGTCATATTCTTAGAAAGTATAATAAAGACTGTATTTTAGTGCGCTTGTCAAAACCTTCCCTTTAACTAGACTAAATGAGCAGATGCCACAGACCTCCATTTCTTACCCCTGGTGAGAGCAAAACCCACTGAATGTTTTGTTGGCTTCATGAGCAAAACAGAGAGTCAGCCTAGATTTGACTCAACAACAGGGATTACTTTAACATTTTAAAATGTGTCAGAACAATTAGAATTGAGTGGGACATTTTAGGTTGGGGCTAATAGAGAAATAAATAATAAGCATCATTTCAGATAAAACCTTAAAAGACCCCATATGTCTGACTTATGACCCATATGTAAAATCTGCTGATTTATCTCTACTTTAATCTGTAATCATGAAGAAATCAACTCCCCTGTAGGTCATAGGCAACTGCTGGGATACAATTTCAAACAAACAGCCTTTATTTCTCAAGGCCTTATTTGACACAACGTTGTTTAAACAGCACTGTTAGCTTAAATTATACGCTCGGTAACAAGAGAAATGGCAGAAGGCTGAGAAAATGTTGGGTGCATGAGAACAGTAGTTTCTGTTCTGCTAGTTTTAATGAACTTTCTGTAGTGTTTGGGGAGCTGCTTCCAGACGGCGAGACGTACAGTAAGTTTTATGCATGTAACCAACGTAACCTCAGTTTTTATGGCCCAGCTGTCCAAGCAGAGCCTTTCTAGTGAGATTTCAGGAGCTTAAACAGAGCCTTCCAGACAGAATGACAAGAGTGTCTGGGTAATGTAGAACACAATGCAATGAGGAGACGGCAGTGTTCCTATGCAGTATTTAAAGCCCTGAAATCTGCCCGCACATTTTTGTTTTAGTATGTATGGAAAGTAGATATTTACATATGTGAAAAAGGAAACAGAATATAGAGAAAGGTTTGATTTTCTGAGCCTTTCGTTCCTACATTTTCTAAACCCAAGTCCAATAATATTCAGTTTGTGTGACAGTTTAACAATGATGTTTATTGTTTTATTGTACTACGGTTCTTCCTTAATTTGACACATCATCGGTTGTTTACTTTTTCAGGAATCAGAAAAAAAAATGTCTGGTCTCTGGACAGCTTTAAATTCAGGTTGTTTTAACTGATTTTTAAATGTTCTAAAATGACAAGGTATTGGAAATGTAGTTTTTAGGACCAAGCACTACCAAGCATTTCTAAGGTAATTAACTATGCTTTAGATGATTTGAGTATTCGACTTTTTTCGCCCAAGGCAGAAATTTATTTGAATTCTCCTCTTTTAGTAAAGCGATCTATGGTTGGTCCAGATGCCATAAAATTACTGAGCCTTTACCAAACTTTGAAAAAGAGAAAACAGTTGATTTAAGATCTAAAGATCTCTGCTCAAAAGTCAGGATTATTTAAAAAAATGTATTGCTTGTAAATAATAGAGTTTAAATATAAAGATTAGACCGTTACATATATTTGTCCTTAAAAATGGGGTTGTCTTAGGAAAAGTTTTGCAGTTTCTCATTTAGAACAGCTAAATATAGCTGTGCTCCTGTCTCCAAGTGTTCTTTCCTACATTTTTTCTAATTCTAGCAGAGGACGTGGCCTGAGTAGATTAAATTTAGGAATTCAACCAACAGTTAATGATCCATACAGTCTGGATGCTGACACTGACGTATAGTAAATCATTGTAAAAAGGTGAATGCGGTTGTGCTCAGCAGAAATTGGGTAACCAAAAATCTGCCATCTTGTTCTGGTTTTGAAGACTCCTCTCTGAAATGCCTTTAGCCTTTTTTGTATTATAGTTGATGTAAAACAATACCTTTTGTACAAATCTGTGTTTGCATATGCTTACTTGAGTTGGCTTTCTGGGTTGAAACCTTACTCTGTCCTCTCTGTGTGTCCATAGTGTGCTCTGACGGAGGCTGAACTGTGAGGTGGAGGAGGCCGTAACGAGGCCCAGAGGGAGCCTCCCATCCTCCCTACCTGATCAGCGCTAGAGGCCCGACGGCCATGGCTCCCCGAAAGCGTGGGGGCGGCAGCAGCCGTGGTGGCCTCTCCTTCGTCTTCTGCTGTTTCAACAGCAACGATCACCCTGAGATCACCTACAAACTGAGAGAGGACTTTGCCCTGCAGAGCATGGAGCCAGCTCTGCCCATGCCCGGATATGATGAGCTGGATAACATGTTCTCTGAGTTGGTGGTAAGATATCACTTATGTGTTTTATTGCTCTTAAACTTGCTGGATGCAATATAAGGTCCTACTTGGACCTTATATTGCAAGTACCATGAAACACTTTTTATATAATAAAATTTAATAATCTAATGAGCCAAAACAAAAAAAATTGTATTTGCAGCTTCAGCTTTAATATTAGTAAGCTCTTTTGTTTTCAAAGTGTTTTTAAGACGGTTCTCCTTGTGTACAGTTGCAATGTCTTGTGAGTAACCAGGCCGACATGCTTTTCTTTCTTTCTTATTGTCACTTCTAATTTGTCCAGTGTCGCTCTCTCTTCGGGCCCCTTTTCCACTCTCACGTCTGCCACACTAGTCTCTTTGCACATCAATAGGCCTCATTCAGGGGCTCTTTAGGTCAAAGCCCGCTCCATCTGCTAATTGCTTGTTTTTGTCAGTCGTTCTATATGAAGACATAATTAACTAAGTTTAATGTGAAGACAAGGAGGCTTTCTGTTGCTCTGTTTGCCACAAGAAAAACAGCCACATCCTCTTTTTCTCAACCACTCGCTGGCCTTTTTGTGTTCACTCTAATAGGAAGGGAGGAAAAAGGTTACAATAAGGAGAACATTTGTTGACATATCTCCTTTTACTACTGGTTAAACTCAGCCATTGAACATGATAACAGTCATGCATGTAGTTAGTGCCCAGAACTAACTAATTATATAGAGATGGAATGATCTTTACTTTGTATAAATACATTAAAGTGCCTCAAAATAAACTATGATTTTATTACTGCAGGTAAACTGGGTGATGAACATTTTAGAAAAACTACAACTTTTAATTAAGTACGTTTATTAAAGAAGAAATCCCATGTTTAACAGATTATCTGTAGTTTTAACATCCCTTCTGAAATAAATATACCTGAAATGATTCAAGGTTTTAAGAACTTAAAAATTAGTAATCCATGACCTTCTTTTCCTCTAATGCATGGACATTACATGGTCCATTTCTCTCACACTCTGCCACTGGGTGCTTTAACTTGGCACTGCTGACACTCAGCAGAACATTGAGAAAAGGGATAAAAAACTTTAGCGCTTGATGTGGCAAAGACTGGCATGCTGGAGTCACAAAGTCTCCCTTTCATTCACTACATGGTACACAAATTAGTTGTTTGGGAGCGATTAGCAAAAGAAAGCTTTTCGTAATCCACCATTACAAACGCAAACAGGTTGATTTCATGTGCCTTCATCAGATGAGGTAGAAGCTGAGCTTATTGTAGGGCTGGAACTAAGGACTATTTTAATAATCGCATGGCAAGGGGCTCCTTGAAGAAGATTTTAGACAAAATTTAAAACAAAATTAAAACTGTGCCCTTGGAAGACTTCTGGAAAGAGCATATTAATGGGCTGAAATAGTTTTTCATCTTAAATAAAAAAAGAGTGCCTTGCCATTTCAGCTGAAGACATGTTTATAAGTCTCTAAACTCAAGTTAATGATTGATTACTAAACTGGTTGACGATTATTTCAATGATCGATTAATCCTAATTAATCAAATTAAATGTTTCAGCCCTAGCTTATCGACGATAATAGCTCTATGTGGATTGGATTTATGAAACCTGTTGCAAAATGTCAAGTACGGTAGAGGATCCATGATGCACTGGGCCTGCTTGTCTTCTAGTACCTTTGAAAATCTATTAGAGCATTGGTTCCTAGTCCTAATGTACCGCTGCACTGCATGCTCTAGGTGTCAACATGCTTCTACACACGACTTAAATGACTGAATGATTAACAGGCTTCTAAAGCACTCGATAACTGCTGAGGAGGTCAGGCGTATTTGAGAACAAGGTTTGAGAACCACTGTGTAAAAGTGATTTATTAAAATATGCACAACATATAAATTATTAGATAAATACCTGAATAACTAGATAGACACACTGAATACGAGGGCTTGTTCAGGAAGGGGGAAAGCAGTCATATATTTCTTTCCTTCTTTGTAAGCGTTGAGGGGAAGTGATGTGATCTAGGTGACTTTCCTGACCGCCAAGACAATAAACAGCCAAGAGAGTGAGCTTTGCACTGGGCCAGTAATTAAACAGTATCATTAACCTGTCAGCATGCCTCACTGTGTATTGAGTAGGATATTGATCTAGATCATATGGCTTTATAAAAAACAAACAAAAATCCACTTTCTTTCATGGTGATCTCAATGACGAGACTTGATTCCTCTAATAATCTCGATGATTGTGCAAAAGGAATCAAAGTTTCATGGTTTCAAATGTTTCTGTTTGCTCCAGCCTTGCCATATGTTAAATCGTATCCTATGGGAAAAGGCATTAACAAGAGAGAGCTAAAAAATACTGTGGCTTCTTTCATTGTTTCTTAATGAGATATTTTCCCAGGTTCTCAAATTGGTTTGATTTAAAAAAAAAAAATGTTTAAGTATAATGTTATTTCAATATAACACATATATTAAGCTGCTATTCTTCTACATTAGTATATACCTTACTTAAAATTATACAAATCTATTAAATCTATAGTATTCTAAGCCTTGCTCTGAGACTATGTAATTGGAATGAACAATTAATTGCATTTGCAATAAAATCTAAATTTTCAAAACAGTTTCCTAATTCCAAGGCATTCTATTTTTTAATTCATATTTTTTTTACATTTTCCATTTTTTCCCAAGAATAACTTTCTGACTTTTTCACTCCAGCTCTTTTGGTGGTGGAAATTAGCTTAAAATGGTAGTTGCCACCACAACAATGAGAACAGAGAGCAGCAAAGATCCATCCATGTAAGCTAGAAGAAAGCAACTTTTCAGAAAAAAGTTATGTCGTGTGACGATGAACTCTTGACTAGAGAGCACTCAAGGCTATGAAAACAAGCAAGCGCTGAAGCCAAATATGTCTGTGTTTTGGTAATGGAAAGTAAATTTAAATGAAATGGCAAGTGCCGCTTTGGTCCAAGAGAATGGACCGATACCTTTGCTGCTAGTTTTCCTGTAAGACTACTTTCTAAATAAAGGCCACTCATGCCTAGGAAAGGTTATTATGGCAGTCATTGATTTGTAGGTCATTGATTTGTAGGCCTTGTATTTTTTGTAGGTCTTGTATATTTTGATGTAGAAATGTTAACTGTATTTTTCATAACTAATTTATCTCTGTTTTCATTAAAACATGTTTTTTTATGCTCTTTTACATCTTTTCTCTTTGTGCTGTATTGGCTAAAAATGTTCTGCAGCCTTTTATCACCTCCCTCACATGGAGCTAATTAGGAGCAAAAATCTCCAGCTGAAATTCACATGGTAAACCTCAGAAAGTTTTGCAGATAACTCACTGATACATCCCAGTTTTCCGAACGGGCTCTGGTATTCGGTCCGAACACTTCCCATCAGCACCCTTTTTAACGTGCCCTGTGAACGTCATAGATTGCGACACATGTTGTTTCCAGATGTTTGTTTCCACATGCCGAACACATGAACCACGCCTTATCTTTTTACCCCCTTATTCGCATGTCTGAAGCCTGGAATAGATCCGATTTACTTCGCAATCAGACTAAATTTATGGGGACAGACACTAGGCAACGCAAACTGATCTACGGCTCAAATGAGCTTAGTCTGAGCCTTTCTTGGCAAGGGTTTCCATTTTGCAGGAAAACAAATTTGATTTATTTGGATCATTCTATTGTTTGCACAATGCAGCTCAGTAATCAACAGCAGATCATTAGTATCTGTGTGCTGCTGTGCATGAGTGATTTTAAAGACATTTTTCTTACTTTGCAGGATGAGCTTGACCTTACAGAAAAACACAGGGAAGCCATGTTCGCCCTACCAGCAGAGAAGAAATGGCAAATCTACTGCAGCAAGAAGAAGGTAAAGAGATCAGCATATGATAGCTTTCACTGGGTTTTTTCTCCGAGTGGGAATGTCCAGATATAGAGCGAGCAAATAAGTTTTAAAATCTTTATATTTCCAGACTTTATTCCCTACCCTTCCTGAACTGTCAAGTTTTACATGATACATGTAAAGAACTGTTTAGAGTGTGTGACTTTCTTTTGCTACGCTTGCATTCTGACTCTCTGTGCTTCCTGGCTTCTATATGAAGTGAGGCCAGTTTCTGGTTTTAATCTCCAGTTTTTTTTCAATTATTTGTGAAGGTTTGTTTATTTTAACTATCATGCTTTTGAATATTTAAATAATATTCTGAAAAGATGTCTGATACTGTTTTTAATTTAGCACATGCAGACTTTGCAATCCTTAATAAAGCTACTCTATATTTCATAACGATGCTAACAAACTCCATTCTTTGCATGTCAGAACATTTAATGCTCTTCATGATATCTTCTTAAGGAAAAAAAACTCCAGAAAAATGTTTTGATGATTTAAACCACACTAACTCGCATTCATGCCTTCAAACTGTGATGCAGCAATGCTGTAAACACAGATATTAATTAATCAAACTAAAATTAATAATTTCAGATTGTCTTCCTCCTTATTTCACCTAAATATCTGGGTTAGATTAGGTTGAAATCATTGCATTGTGTAGCATTTAAAACAAAGAGTTTTGATGCAAACAGCTTTGTGAATAATTTGAACAGAGCAACACAAACAAATCTATTTCAGTTTAGATTAACGTTGATGATAGTATCAGTCACACATAATTTAGTATTTAATCCAGCATTTTAACTAAACTGCCAAACAGTAATAATTAAAAATGAAAACAGCATCTACTGATAATCTCATGGAATAAACAGTGGAAAAGATTTTCAAAAGTCCCCAATTACAGCTTGTCATTCTTGTCATATAAGAGTAAGCAGAATAATCACCAATCTCTCGTATCCCCTGTACTAAATATTCAGTCGTTTAAAGCTCAGTATCAGCGTAAATTAGAATATGTGGGTATATCCCAGTCTGGATTGATTTTGTACTTGTTGGTAATGCTGCCCTTTTTTAAATACAAATTCAATGGTAGATTAAGAACATAGGTGCCCAGGTCCAGTCATGGAGAGCTACTATCCTGCAAACTTTAGATGCATCCCTTCTCCAACACTTCTGAATCCAATAAATGACGTATTAGATAAATGGCTAAACAACGATAGGGGAATTCACCTGTACCATCTGCTGTTGTTAACTGTTAGCATTTATCTAACACGTGTAGTGTATGCACAAATATTTATCTGTTTATTTCATATTGAAAGCTAGATCTCTAAAAAAAATATATACTCCTAGATTTATCAGCTGTAGTCTAATATTTTGCTAATAACTTTCAGGGTTGGTTTACTGTGTCTTTGAATAAGTCCCTTAATTGGCCTAAATTGTTTCTTTTTGCTGTTAGATCATGTAGTTGCATTGTAAGAAGTTTTTTTATTTAGTTTTTTTATCTAGTAACCTGATCCAAAGCTGTTAACCTTGATGCTCCGTTGTCAGAAGTGACACCTGTCCTGTTAAGTCTTCATGTAGCCATAACATTCCTGTCTGCTCTGTAACCGTGTAATGTTTCATTAAGCTCTTTCTTCCTGATAAAAGGCGCCAGGGCGGTTCTTCTTTTCCCCCGTATGTGAATTTTACCCTCACCATACAGGAAAGCACAGATGCATGTTAGAGTATAGATGACTGGAAGTGACGCTCCCTCAGAATGTGCCCTCACATTTATGCAGCCCGAGGTCTGAGCATGTAGGATATCCTGTCCCGACGAGTATGCCGATGGGGCACACAGATGCAAATATCGTTTCCTGCATCTAGAGAAGAGACAACATGAATGAATCTGAAGGGTGGATATTGTGTGCATCAGTGTGTGCACTCAAAGTCCTCAGTCAGGTTTTCTTGAGGGCTGGTTATACTCCTGCAGCAGTGTGTTGCAATGAGCTTGTCGCAGATATTTTTGATTTATGCTCGATATTGAAGCATGGTCTACGCTGTTATTCCACGCCATAACGCAAGAGAGACAACCCTAAACTAGCTGTGGGTCTAGATACGGCCGAGGCGGTGAGGAAATGGAGGCAAGTTTGTGCAACAAAGGAGGGACATGAGGTCTTAAACGAGCGAGGATCCATGGGGAATAAGGGTCCCAGCGTTCTTGCGCACCTCGCTCTTCTAGCTGACCATCTTCACGAGTCGTTTTCCACAGTGGTGGTCATACAATCAAAACAAGCCGGTAAGGTACCAAACAGGAACTACACATAGTGTAGAGCGGATGTAGATTTGACCAATCAGATGCCTACTGTCTGCTGAAGGTGCGGGGGCACATTTGCATTCACTGTGACACACATGCAGACGACCTGGTTTCTGAGCAAAAACCAGCCTTAAATCCTTGTTATTGTCTTTGGACCAAGCTAATTTGACTTAATTGACATTAAATAATTGCACCTGTTTTCAAGTAGAAAATCTTTAAGGTAACTTTGTGGCACTTCATGAAGACAAAATGATAGAGGCCTTAAGACATCAGCTCACATCTTATTTTCTCTGTCCATAATCTCCCATCTACTTCATCAGGACAGGAAATTGATAAGTAGAACATGGTAGGAATCACAAACTTTGATTCTTTCTCCTAAATCCTATCTAGTAAAGTGTTATATTGGGATAGCATAGGATCAAATCATCCTCTTAACATGATGCTGCCACCACCATGTCTCACAGTGAGTATGAGATGTATGGGGGTGCTAAACAGCATATTTGAGACCAACTATTCCATGTAGAATAATTTTCAGCATGCAGGATAAAGGTTGGGGTTAAATGACATATAATTGACTCTTATGTAATAATTAGATGACTTCTGAAGACTGTTGCAATGAGTTTCATTAGGGAGAATTGGAGTAAAGGGCCCTGGAAAAAAGCACAAACCTTGATTTTAGGATGATTTTGTTTTACTTCACAACAATGCAACTATTTTGTGCTGGTTGATCACTTAAAGTCCAAATTAAATGATAAGTTTGTAATTTTAATATAGAATAAAGGTAAAAAGTTTAACACTTATAAAAACTAGACTTCAGTGTTCCTGAGTAGTTGATTATCTGGTAAAGTGGGGGAGGACTTGGATGGATTAAAGTCTTAGTGTGAGCATCGACCTGCAAAAGCGGGTAGGGAGCAAAGACAGAACTGCTTGAGCATTGCTGAGTCTGCAGCAAGCACTGGCTCTGACCCAGACGGATACAAACCGAACCATCAGAGCTCAGAGGGGAAGGGTGTGTTGGAGAAGGGAAGAAGTCAAAGGAAGTTCTCGGTTGTCCAAGCCAAACAGGAAGGTTCACTTCCACAGGTGCAGCTTTTTTATGAGAGCAGTGGGTGGGGTCTGCATCAACGATAAGGAGGAAGGTGGTGTCACTATCGGGATCCACTAAAAGCCCATCTGTAGTGGTCGTCTGTTTTTTTTTTTTTTTTGCTTTAGAAGCCCATCTGGACAGAGAGAAGATAATTCTGTCAGAGCCGTTTGCTTTGGCCAGACACCTGAACCGATGAAATCATTCTGTCAAGAATCAATCTTCCCTCAAGGCTACATCCTCTGCCAAGAGGAAGATTTCGGTTTCTAGAGAAGACTGGGTTTCACGTTTCATCCAGCTCCAAAGAAGGCTGAACTGTAACTTCTTTCAAGTAGGCTGTCCTACTAAAAACAGAAACTCACTTCTGTTTCCCAAAGTATCTTTGATCTTTATTTTCCTGAATGTGGAGAAAATAAACCCCCCTCTACAAGCGCTCCCCACCTCACCCTGAAGAACGTGGTTTTATAAAACAGGCTGCTGACATCTGAGATAGAAGATAAACAGGGAAAAAGGAAAGAGGCTCCACTTCGTTGGTCTCTCCTCTAATAGACTGGACTTTTATCCAGCTCCCACCTGGTGAAGCTGGCACTGGATCATGGCTGGACCCAGCAGGATCAGTTCTTAGTGTCGCTGCACAGTCCACGGCCCGCTTTAATATCCGACGCTCAATTAGTTTCTGACTGTCACAGTTCGCTTGTGCCTAATGGAGCAAGAGTTAAACTGGGAGTCAGAAGGCCTTTTATGTACAAGCCAAGTTTAGGAGAAAGAAGCTGCCTACTCAAAGGGTTTGGAGTCTGCATGAAAAATTTTGTTTTTGTGCAGTTGTGAAGCAAACATGCCCATGACGAAATTAATCTCACTATAAGTCAGGCCATGTCCCTAATCCTGGATTTTAATAATCATTTGTTAATCTCGAGATTTTCTCAAGCAGCCGTTCTGCCTTTTTGGCACCTACTGAAGTGCTGGAAGATAAAATGGGTTGAATATCTGTGTCGTCCTACTTAGAAGTTCTTTATTTTTAGCTACTTCTGTCTGCTCCCTTAGCACACACTCCATGGTGCTTTTGCTGGTGACAGTTATGGCTTATTGATCTAAAAACTGATGGGGAATGAGAAGGAAAGAGGAAGAAGCTCCACTTCTGCTTTGAAGTCTGTCTTTGATGTTTATTAGATTAAAGGTGTGACACAAACCAGATGAAAATGTGCCATTTTCTGTGTCTCTCTTCTACATTTTAAAGTCATGTCTCAAAAATCTGATCTTTTACTTCAAATTTGTGCTCTTTTTATCCCCACATGATATTATTGCGGGAATATTAAATCAATTAAAGAAGGGTTTTGTATTTCTCTAATGATTTGTTTCTCTGCTTCTTTTTTTTAGGAACAAGAAGAAAATAAAAGTGCAACTAGTTGGCCAGAATATTATATTGATCAGCTCAATTTAATGGCAGCTGTAAGTAAAAATGTTAAACTACATTTTCTTTTTATTGGGATGTAAATAAATGTGCCCCTGATTTTATCATATGATTTCTAAAGGTAATTGGAAATTTAAATTACAGTGCCCTTTGTGCTTTTTCACATCCCTGGTGGAGATGTGTGGAAAAACAAATTAAAAACTAAACTTAAATAAGTAAGCTCACACCACATTTGAATTAAATGCATTTATTTTAATCACTTAATGGCCCCAGATATAATTTTACTTTATTTCCTTTTTTTTTCAACATTTGTCACATGACTTCCTGTTTCTCTCAAGCCCTCTTCAAAATAAAAAAGGCAGGAGAACATGCCCTTCAAGTGAAAAAATGGATGCCGGAAAATAACTGCTGGCCTATATTTTCTGATACCTGTAGTCGATTAATAATTAAAAAGGTTTAACACAGCTGGATGTGTAATAAGGCAATAGAAGTAACCTACAGATAAGGATAACATATTTAACAGGAGTGCCACTAAATGTGCTTTATAGTAGAAATAATGATTGAATGATTATGGACGTTGGATGATTATTTATTTGAGCAGGAACTGGTCTTGATGGTCTTTATGTTTTGTCAGAGAAAGACACTTCTCGCGCTGGAGAAGGAAGATGAGGAAGAAAGAAATAAAACTGTAGAGAGCCTGAAGACAGCTCTGAGGACACAGCCTATGAGGTGAGGAGAGTTGCTTTTTATCTTTGCCATCCAGCCTCCTTCTTGGTTTTTATTTCTAATGTCACCTATGATTCTATCTCCTCTCATCCTCTCTAAGTCTGATTGGTTTTTAACTACAGTGTGGAAGTTAATTCACTGAGCTCCTCTCTTTTCAGCTACAGCTAATGCCTTGGGAAACTGTTTTTTTTTTCCAGGTTTGTGACACGTTTCATCGATCTGGATGGCCTGACATGCATCCTCAACTTCCTGAAGAGCATGGACTATGACACCACAGAATCACAGATCCATACGTCGCTGATCGGCTGCATTAAGGCTCTGATGAACAACTCACAAGGCCGCGCCCACGTCCTCGCGCACACAGAGAGCATTAATATCATCGCTCAGAGCCTGGCCACAGAAAACATTAAGACTAAGGTGGCAGTGCTTGAAATAATGGGCGCAGTGTGCCTGGTTCCTGGTGGACACAAAAAGATCCTGGAGGCCATGCTTCACTACCAACGCTTCGCCTGCGAGAGAACGCGCTTCCAGGTGGGCTTTTGCTCATCTGTACTTCAGCAAAGCAATGTTTCTTGAATGTATTAAATGCTGTTTATGGTATTTCTGTTCCTTAGTCGCTAATAAATGAGCTGGATCGCAGCACTGGGAGATACAGAGATGAAGTCAGCTTGAAAACAGCCATCATGTCCTTTATTAACGCTGTACTGAGTCAAGGAGCTGGAGAGGTATGTTGTTAAATTACTGCATATTTTTTCTTTAAGACCAAAACATTTTCATTTCAGCAACTGGTCATATTTAACACACTTTTTTCATTTTTTTTTTCTGAGCAGACTAGTTTGGAATTTCGAATCCACCTTCGATATGAATTTCTTATGCTGGGAATTCAACCTGTGATCGATAAGCTGCGATCACATGAAAACTCCACATTAGATAGGTAAGATGGCACCCCTCTTTATCAAGCATATTAGTAATAGAAAGTTGGAAAGAAGAGTTTATGATCAGGCACTAAATTGTATGTTTTTATCTCATACCTCATGACATTTTTTCATAGAAAGGTAGAAAACAAACTTATCTCAGAATCTATCACCCTCGGTTTAAAGCTTAAACTGTGTGATTTTTTTTTTTTTGCCCTTTTCGTGGGGACTTTCAAGTCGTGCGAGAAATTTCTGATCGGGCCGACTTTCAGACTGATCATGGGTCATGCGTCGTGTAGTGTACAGAAACCGCAGGGTTTTGTTGTACAGTGTGAGCTGTATATTTATAGCCTCTTGATTTAATATAACAGTTTTTTGCTATTCTCACAGGCATTTAGACTACTTTGAAATGCTGCGGAACGAAGACGAGCTCGCTTTGTCTAAACGGTTCGAGTCGGTAAGGAAGAGAGGAAACTAGTTAACTCCTGCAAATTAAAATCAAACGTGAATTTGAACATATTTTTTTCTCTTTTAGGTACACATAGACACAAAAAGTGCCACTCAAGTTTTCGATCTCATCCGCAAGAAGATGAACCTCACCGATGCATACCCACACTTTATGTCTGTGCTGCATCACTGTCTGCTAATGCCACGTAAGTCTCTCTAAAAATTTGGATTACATGCAGATAGAACCTGCGTCTGAGGTATGTTTTTAGGCACCATGAGGCTGTAAATAGCAGTCTGAAGGCAGAGGTAATACTCCCACAAAGTGCATAGTGCTTGTGCTCTCCAGCTTTGTGCCAGAAAGATAAGAGTGTTGACTTTGTCCAGAGTAGATGGCTCAGAAAATTGGATAAGCACATTCCCAGCCTAACTGAACACTATACTCCTTCAGATCCCGATATTTACTTTGTCAGGGTCTTTGTAAAAGGGTACACAATTGAAAAGTGAAAGTGAAAGAGCTTTAAACAAATTTGTGTTTTATCATACATTTTTCTTTATAACCAATTAACAAACTTAACACTGCTAATAGGTTCTTGTGAAACTTAAAATAACAAAAAATTGAAAGTGTTGGATGGTTTATCTTTTAAGAGTGTTTAGTCTTTTTTACATGTCAAACATTACACTGTAATCCTAATTGAAAGAATATCAAGTGACATGATCAGGCTGCATTGACATACAATTTCACTTGCTTTGAAAACTTGTTTAACCGTGGCCGGACGGCCTTTCTTTTTGCAATACAGAGATTTAACAAGGAGACAAGCAGTGTAGGTCAAATTCATGGTAGCTTGATATAACTATCGGATAGGTCATTCCTCCTTTTATTTACTTACTTTAAATTTTTTTCATTACACTCTCACAAGTGCAGCACAACAAAATTCACTCTGAATTTATCCCATCTGCCTTTTGCGGCGCGCCGGGTGCAGTCTGGGGTAAGGGTCTTTGCTCAGGAACCCAGAGTGGCATTCTTAGGTAGTGGGGCTCGAACTCACAACCTCAGAATTCCAAGCCCCATGCCCTAACCGGGCCGAAATTAATGAGGTTTTTATCAATGGCATTGTTGAAGAATAAAAGACACCAGCTGGCAACATCAGTATTCCTGTGTTAATTTCCAGACAAGAGAAGTGGAAACACGGTACAGTACTGGCTGCTGTTGGACCGGATCGTCCAGCAGATGGTCCTACAGAATGATAAAGGTCACGACCCCGACATCGCACCACTGGAGAACTTTGACGTAAAGAATGTGGTCAGGATGTAAGTGCTTCAACACACAGATAAATAAACGGAGTCATGGAAGAAATTACATGACTGTGGGAGTGAGGAATGCACAAGAGTGCTGTGTTCGCAGACAAGCTGAAAGTCACAAAGTTTACAACGTTAGCTCCAAACGGTTTATCTTTGAAGTTCATCGAAAGGCTGCGATTAATTTACCCATTGTCATTTCTCTGTTCAGGCTGGTTAATGAAAACGAGGTTAAACAGTGGAAAGAGCAGGCAGAGAAAATGAGGAAAGGTGTGTATGCTTTTCCAGTCTCACTACAAATAATGTTGGTTCAGTAAGCTTGACGTTAAACGTATTTGATCGCAACAGAGCACCATGAGCTGCAGCAAAGGTTTGAGAAGAAAGAGCGTGAATGTGATGCAAAGACGCAGGAGAAAGAGGAAATGATGCAGACGCTCAACAAGATGAAAGAGAAGCTGGAAAAGGAGAGCAACGAACACAAGAATGTAAAACAGCAAGTGGCTGAACTTACAGCACAACTGCACGAGCTCAGCACCGTATGTCTCCCTTTGCACATTTAAAATAAGCTGAATCTGCTGATATTATGTTAAATTCTTTTGTCTAAAGATAAGATTCCTGATTTCTCTGTAGTTTTCACAGCAGACAAAATATGATCTCTAGTACATTAGTGACGTTTGTTACATGAGAATCCTGGGCTCATTTTAACCCCCATTGTTTTTACAGAGACGGGCAGCAGCTGTTGTTCCTGGAGGTCCTCCCCTGCCCCCCGGCCCCCCTGGCAGCCCTCTGCCTCCTTCGACGATGCCAGCATTTACAGGCCTGTGTCCCCCTCCTCCTCCCCCTCCTCCTGGTGGTGCGATGCCTCCTCCGCCTCCCCCACCTCCACCACCTGGTGGCCCTCCACCTCCCCCTGGGCGAGCACCCACTGGGGGTATCCCTCCACCACCAGGAGCCCCCCTGGGACCTTCTTTAAAGAAGAAGACCATTCCTCAGCCATCCAATGCGCTCAAGTCTTTCAACTGGTCCAAGTTGGCTGAGGTGGGAACAATAAAGAGATTTAATGGCAACTGCATTTTATTAATAAGACACATGGTAAGATATCTAATTGTCCTCTACACAGAATAAACTGGAGGGAACTGTTTGGATGGATGTGGACGATGCCAGAGTTTTTAAAATCTTAGACCTGAAAGACATAGAAAAGACCTTCTCAGCCTATCAGAGACAGCAGGTATGGTTCCGATCTGTAATTAGACAGAAACAAAAGATTTCATTTTTTTTATTTGAAAGGCCATTTGTTACTTAGAATTTCAGGTGTTCATAGTGAGATTGTATGTCAACACTTTTATTTCTAATATGTGTGTGATTGGATGTTCGTAATTCACTTTTTCATTTGGTGAGACTTTTAATGTGTTTTATTGGGATTTTATATGATGGATCAAAACAAATCCTGCTATATTTTGTGAGGTGAAAAGAAAGTGATGCATTATTTGTTTTTGTTTTGTTTTTATTTAACACAGATAAATATCAGAACAAGTGTGTCATACATTGATATTCAGCCAGCCTGAGTCAATGCATTTTATAAGCACATTCTATTGTAGTTCTAGCTGCAGGCTCTATCAGCTTTCTACAGCTAGAGAATAAATATCCTTTGCACCGTATGTTTAAAATACCTTCAGTGAGACTAAAACAAGAGTATCTGCAAAATCAGTTTTTTTATCAGAATTCTAATTTTTTTAGTAAATCACCTTTAAATTAGAACTTTCTGTTGACTTTGCAATTTAAGGGCAGAAGATGGTTTCAGTCAGTATTTTTCTGTGATGTACCAACATGTGGAATGGGTTAGTTTAGTGTTTATTACTGCTTTTGGAAGGTACTATAGATACATTAAGGTGAAAAAAGTAACACCTGTTCTGTTGCTTTTTAAAACTGAATGATTCTGTTCTTTTCCTTTTGGCTGTATGAAAAAGCATGAGTGAACAATTCACTATCAGCTTCCTTTTTCTTTAATTTCTACATATCACCAGTAATTAGTTTCTGGTATTTATGTTTTAAGATTTATGTTTCTAGATGTTTTCTGTTTTACTTTTTCAGTCAGTAAAACCTTGAATACAATAAAGCATGATGGTAGGAACATAGATATTGCATGTAGAATTTCAGCACACGACTGAGTTTTATTTTAGAAGCTACTTCTCAGCCAGATCAAACTTCACGTTGACCCAACATAGAGACAGTTGGCAGATGTTAATGGGCACAGCATGTGACGATGAGCTCGCATTGATTAATTGAACCACTCATCCCGTATCACTTTGCTACTGATTCATTATGACTGAAGGCCTGAATGATTCATTTTGCTGTCTGTTCTTACTGGCTGCGAACACGTTACTGCTTTACTTATTCTAACTAATGCTTCCATCTCTCCTGCTTCCTGCTGCGTTTTAGGACTTCCTAACGATCAATAACAGCAAACAGGTGAGTTTTACACTACAGTAAGTTACAGTGTCCTTTAGGTGTTAACGTTGGTTTTCTGTGTTTGCTGTTTTGTCTTTAAAATGCTTGTTGTCTGTATGTCATGATTGAGTTTTTCATCTCTGGTATAAAACCACTGCATCTTCTCCATGGTCTTTGAAGTATTTTACTCTTTTTATTCAGTTATGTTAGGCTCCACTCTCATTGGATTAAAATTACTCAATTAAAACTTATGTTTATGGGCAATTTGGAAAACTTAAATTTCATGTGCCATACATTGATTTCTGCAGGAGGTTTCTGCACCTCAAAGGGGAACACCGTTTTTTTTTTTACATTGGCCCCTTAATTTTACGTTATTACATCATGTTCTACTCACCCATATGAGTTTTGTTTAATTTGGAGCTGTTCTGAAGATATTTGGTTTTGTGATATCCAAGTAACATCTTCCTTTGGGCGATCAACTTGAAGGCACAAACTAAACTGTTCATAATTTATCATTTATGGTACGCCAGCATTCATAACATGTAGGCGAATCACTGTCCCCCAGACATCCAGGGTTATATTTTTTTTTATATTCTATTTTTTTTAAAACAAAGCAAAGTGTGTATGACGTCATCCGTGCTCACCGGCTACCATTCATCCTGTCTGCTGAACTGCTGCTAATTTTACTGACATGCCTGGAAGATGTGTCCAAATGTTCTCATCCCATTGAAAACTCTTGTAAACCATATACTTGTAATAAAAATGAAATAGAAAATGGAGTGCACGTGTAATCATTAAAGACTATATGCAGAAGGAAATATTTTTTTCCTGGTTGAAATTTAGTACTTAAATCTATATCTGTGTTTATAGTAACGTACAATTTATCTATGTTGTACTATCCTTAATAAACAGTTTGTCTTCTAACATCAGCCATTTTATTTCATCCCATTTTGCCAGAACTGGCAATATGGGATAAAATAAAACCTGCTGTAATCTGTTCCCCCTGTCTAAATCAGGCAAAAAAAGGCCCCAGCTTTTTCATTTTTGGCTTAAAAATATCTTTTATGATGACAACTAACTCCTGAAACTTTGGATGTGATTGACCTTTATTTCTTAAAGTTATAAGGGGGGAACAAATTATAGCAGGCCACCTGCTATAATCTGTTCCCCCCTGTCTAAATCAGGCCAAAAAGGTCCCAGCTTTTTCATTTTTTGCATCATAAAAGATGCTTATAAGCCAAAAATGAAAAAGCTGGGGCCTTTTTTGCCTGATTTAGACAGGGGGAACAGATTACGGCAGGTTTTATTTCATCCCATATTGCTGGTTCTGGCAAAATGGGATGAAATAAAACAGCTGATGTTAGAAGACAAACTGTTTATTAAGGATAGTACAACATAGATAAATTGTACGTTACTATAAACACAAATATAGATTTAAGTACTAAATTTCAACCAGGAAAAAAATATTTCCTTCTGCATATAGTCTTCAATGATTACCGTATTTTCACGACCATAAGGCGCACCGGACTAAAAGGCGCACTCTCAGTTATATGTCCCATTTCTGTATTTAACACACACATAAGGCGCACCGGACTATAGGGCACGTTTTTTATATACAGGTACATGTCCTCTACTACCTTTAAATAGCTCTACTGCGTATTTAAAAATACAGCGGGGGCAAAACTGAGTATGACTGTGCTTTATTCATGTATTTATTACAAAGTATTAATCAAACCTGGCAGCTGGCCGTGAGACAGAGACATCGCAGATGACACAGCGCTGTGGTCACTCCTAAATTAACTTAAAATCCTGAAACCTGCTGACGGAATATGTTCGCTTTTATTGCCGGTATCCTGGTGCCTGCAGCTAAAATTATTTAGATGAAAAACACCTGCCAGCAGCCGCGGTGAACCCCAGGCTGCCCAGCCTACAGGCTGCTGATGAAGAGATTTCTGCTGTCAGCGCACCGCTGGTATGTGGGGGTCTGAGCGCCTCCGACAGAAATAGATAATCTGGATGAACTGACTGCAATTATGAAGTTTTCAGGTGGACTTTCTCACTTAAAAACATATTAAAACTACTTTATTCCCACTGATCACAGCAAATATAGCTGCAAGATTTAGATTATTTAGATGAAAAACACCTGCAAGCAGCCGCGGTGAACGAAAGGATTTCTCCTGTCAGCGCACCGCTGGTATGTGGGGGTCTGAGCGCCTCCGACAGAAATAGATAATCTGGATGAACTGACTGCAATTATGAAGTTTTCAGGTGGACTTTCTCACTTAAAAACATATTAAAACTACTTTATTCCCACTGATCACAGCAAATATAGCTGCAAGATTTAGATTATTTAGATGAAAAAACACCTGCCAGCCACCGCGATGAAGAGGAGGAGACGCGCCGGGGATGCTGTTGAATTAAGTTTTCAGGGAGAAAAATACAGCGGGAGCAAAACTGAGTATGATTGTGCTTTATTCATGTATTTATTACAAAGTATTAATCAAACCCATCAAAGTCATCATCCTCTGTTTCTGAATAAAACAGCTGCGCTAAATCAGACATTCCAATTTCCCCTTCTTCGCTGTCAGTCACTTTCCATGCAGCGCAGCTCCTCAGAAATAATGCCGGCTTTTGCGAAAGCTTGAACAACAGAGCCAGCAGACACGTTAGTCCAAGCATCTACAATCCATCCGCAAACTGTGGCGTAATCTGCCCGGCGCTGCCTTCTTATCCTGAAACTGTGGTCTCCGTCGGTCATCCATCGCTCCCACGCCGCTCGCAGCCTTACTTCGAACGGCTGCTTCACACCGATGTCGAGCGGTTGAAGCTCCTTTGTCAGACCCCCGGGATAACGGCGAGCACAGCATCCATTTGATTCACCTTTTTTTCACATCGGCTGTGAGATGGGCACGCAGCGATGGTGATGCGTGGAAAAAACCACCTAGTCTTCTCACATACACCTGCCTCAGCCACGCATCCATCCAGCCTTTTCCATTTGCGTTAATATCATATGTCATCAGAGCGCTGTCTGTCTCGCTGGCAGCTCCCAGATCAGCTTCTCTGATTGGTTGATGCAGCGCGTCCAGCAGCAAAACTTCCATTTTTCCATCTCGAGCAGCAGAAGCGCGGCGCTTCAGATGCTTAAACGCTCCCGACGTGCTGCACCAAAATGCGCTGCGGGACCTTTTGCTGCACCTATACGCGCGTCAACCATTGACTTTGCATGTAAACTCGCTGCTTCTGCTGCACCTGCTGGGTCCGGTTCACACCGATGTCGAGCGGTTGAACAGCGAGCACAGCGTTAATTTGTTTCCCCATGTTTTTCACATCAGCTGTGAGATGGGCACGCATGGAGTTGCATATTAACAGCGATGGTGAGGGGTGGAAAAAAAACACCTGGTCTCCTTACATTCAGCCACTCTTTCATCATCTCCTCAATGAGGTGGTCTCAAAAGTCGCAGTTACAACACACATAAGGCGCACCGCACCATAGGGCGCACCGCACATTTTGAGGAAAAAAAAAGACGTTTAAGTGCGCCTTATAGTCGTGAAAATACGGTACACATGCACTCCATTTTCTATTTCATTTTTATTACAAGTATATGGTTTACAACAGTTTTCAATGGGATGAGAACATTTGTACACTGTGAAACAATGAGAGATTTTTTTAATGAACGTGTGGAAAAGAACAAGGATCTGTTTGCTTTCAGAGGGAGGAGTAGACACTGCTGTCAGCGACCAGCTTTCAAGCAAACGTTTGTGTTTTATAATCAGTTTTAAATCAATATCACTGGCGATATTCTGCTATAACACGTGAAGTAAAGAATAAAACAGTAAAGCTCAACTTTCATACACGTAAAACCTTTCAAATTTCAAGTTCTGCACGTTGGAATTGAAGCGGAGTTAAGTCGGGTTGTTCTTCCTACTCCGTGCGCGCTCCCGACGAGGGGATACAAATTTTCGCAGGGATAACTACCTTGGCACGACACCTGTCCGGTAATTTCGCATTCTCCTTACTTTTTTCCATATAGTCAGAGAAACAAACTCAATCCTTTAGTCCTTCGTTTAGCTATGCTGCGGTTGTTTACACTACGCCTTTTCCACCAAAAATGGCGTCTTAGCAACAGATGTCACGTGACTGGCGGAGACCGATTAAGTTTTCAGGTAGAAAAATAGAGCGGGAGCAAAACTGAGTATGACTGTGCTTTATTCATGTATTTATTACAGAGTATTAATCAAACCCCTCAAAGTCCTCATCCTCTGTTTCTGAATTAAACAGCTGCGCTAAATCAGACATGCCAGTTTCCCCTTCTTCGCTGTCAGAGTCACTTTCCGTGCCGGGCAGCTCCTTGGAAATAATGCCGGCTTTTGCGAAAGCTCGAACAACAGTGCCAGCAGACACGTTAGTCCAAGCATCTACAATCCATCCGCAAACGGTGGCGTAACTTGCCCGGCGCTGCCTTCCACTTCACAGCACAGGTCCATTTGCGTGGCAGCCAAGCCCAACAGTAAACGACGCCTTTTCATACCCCGTTGTGTGTATCGCTACAGTGCTGGTCCCCTTCTTCTCCACCGTGTGATTCACCGGGATGTCGAAAGTGAGCGGCACCTCGTCCATGTTGGTGATGTGGCTTGGCTGGATGACTTTGTCAGCGATGTGTTTGCTGCAGAAGGAGTGGAAGCTCGCCAGCTTTTCATTATAATCCGCCGGACGTCGCTGAGCAACTGTAGTCCTGGTCCGGATGGAAAAATTGCACCGTTTCATAAAACGGAAGCACCACGATGGACCTCCTTGAAAATTTTCAATTTTCATTTCTTCCGCTAGCTTTACTGCTTTTAGTCGAACAGTGACCGTTGAAACGCTGGCCCCACTCGTTCTTTGCTCCACGATCCACCGCTCGATTCTTTCCTCCAACTCGGGCCACCTCGCCTTATGTCCGCGGAAACTCAGCTGCGTCTTCTTCACCAGTCGGAGTTCGTTTTCCAGCTTCCTCCACTTGCGAACCATCGATTCATTTATATTGAATTCTCTCGCAGCTGCTCGATTTCCATGTTCCTCTGCGTAGCTGATAGCCTTCAGTTTAAACTGGGCTTCATAGGCGTGTCTCTTTGCCATTTCCAGGGTTGTTAAGACAACAATGTTCTGCATAAAGCACATACCTGTTCTTTTATACACAAGCCACGCCCACACTTCCCCCTTTAACGTTCTCATATACTCATGGTGGTCTCAACAACGTCCGCAGATAGGGCGCACCGCACCATAGGGTGCACCCCACATTTTGAGGGGGAAAAAAGACGTTTATATGCGCCTTATAGTCGTGAAAATACGGTAATATGGGTGAGTAGAACATGATGCAATAATGTAACATCAAGGGGCCAATGTAAAAAAAAAAAAAAAAAACGGTGTTCCCCTTTAAGCCTCCTAAAGGAGGCATAAGAGGAATCCGGTGACTTATTGTTTCAAAATTATTTTTAACAATAATAAATTGACATACAATTCTGAATGCATATTAAGAAGTACAGTTAAAACACACAAACCTCATAACTTAATCATTTATTTTATTTTGTGACCAGGTGTTTTTAATTTATTGTTTGGTTTTGTTGTACTGTTGTGAATTAAACAATACAGGGTTGGTCTATAGTTCAATGTCAATATAACCCACATTATAAGAATATTCAATAATTTTGATTTATTTAAACACATTTTCTGTATTTCCACATAGGTTACAGTCTATTATTACAGTGTTTTTAAGACATTGCTGACATGGAGCCCCTGGCTGCAGCTGCACGCTGTGCTCAGCAGTAGGCTAAGCTCCAACAGGGTCAGTTTTATCAACAAAAGTAATGGCCATGATTAGGTGACCAAACGCCCCCTGTACCTGGCAGAAGCCCCCTTAGAAAATATCTCAGATTTTAGTGCCTAATGAATGATAAGCAACAGCTGGTCCTGCAGCTCACAGATGAGGTAGAAGAGCTAAGCGTGGTGCACGGCCTTTGACTTAGACAAATTTTATTGTAATTTTGTATACACAATTTGTATACAAAATGAAATTTCGTTTAGTACAGCTTTTCAGGCTTTGATAAAGCCGGTCACATCCAACAGGCAGCCGCTCTGTGACATTAGGGGATGTGTCAATTGATTAGTTTTAAATAAGCTTAATCTTTGCCACTATAAAGGTTTGTTTTGAATTAGCAAGTGTAACTTGTTTGTCAACATTAAAGCTGCCCAGGTAAAAATGTAATAATGTGGCTGGGATCTGTTTTGTTTAAAGTGGTAAAGTACAAACTAAACCAAACATTCATTAACAAACAAAACAAGATTAGTAAGACTAGAGCAGGGGGGAGCTGGATAATGAGGAGAGAAAGGAAATTTTAACAGGATGATTTAATAAAGAAAAACAAGTAAACTGCTGCCTTTAGTGGCAATAAGGGTTTATGAAAGGTTAGATGTGTCAGCACTGACAGGGGACCTTTAGTTTGCACTTTAAGAGTTAGTTTCCAGCACTGCAGGCTGTAACCTCGGCATGAGTCCGTCTGCAGCCAGGACTGCCTCACATTTTCTATTTTGAACGCCATAGCAGAACCCAAGAACCAAAAATCATAAATAAGCAATCAGTGCTGCTACCAGGACCTTTATACTAAACCCAGATTTGCTGCCTCCTCGGTTATGAACCCCTGTTGAAGTTTTATGCATACTAAAAACAGTGGGAGCTTTCACATGACCCTGCAGAGACCAACCGCATTCTGGAAGATTTGTATTATTCTTTTTTAATCTTGTGTTGCAGTCTTTGTTGAGTGTGAATGGGTGTTTGCAAATTTTCTTTTTCTCTGATTTACATAAATGTTAGTAAAGTAGCTTAATATAGCACTGATCATTTTATTTCACAGAAAGAAGCAGAAGACGACACATTGGGGTCAAAGAAAGTCAAGGAGCTGTCAGTCATTGATGGTCGTCGGGCTCAAAACTGCAACATTCTTCTCTCACGGTGAGTTCAGTTAAAAGCATCACAGCGAGGCTGAGACGAGAACCGTGTGATTCCAAGTGACTCATTGGTTGTTTACTGCAGACTGAAGCTCTCGAATGAGGAGATGAAAAGAGCCATTCTTACCATGGATGAGCATGAGGACCTTCCTAAAGACATGCTGGAGCAGGTAAGGGCATAGAAACATGAATGATCTAAAAGTGCAGATCTGCTGCAATAATACTAGTTTGTAAAGGTTTTCTTTGTCTAATCAGCTGCTGAAGTTTGTTCCTGAGAAGAGTGATGTGGATCTACTGGAGGAACACAAGCATGAGCTGGATCGAATGGCTAAACCTGACCGCTTCCTCTATGAGATGAGCAGGTCATTACAGTTTCTGCATGCAGGATCCTCCACCTTTAAGAGCTGAGAGCTTGAGTTTGTTGCAGCCTAAACAATAGTCTTTGTTTCAGACTAGGCTGACAAATTCAATGACACATGGCTTTCTACTTAGTAGAGAAAAATAGGAAACTGTGCAAATCAGATTTTCTAAATTTGGAGAGTGAATAAAGAGACAGTGTTGTAGTAGGAGTATTATTGCTCTAGGTTTGTAAACAAAGTTATCTTAGTTAGAAAAAGACGTTAAAACTAGGTTATTTTTTGCAGAAAAAAAGAAAATCCAATGCTAAAGATGGCTAACTGGCTTTCTTAGTCTACTGTAAACATTTTGGGGGATTTGAAATACGTAAACAGTGTCATTGTCATAAGCCTCAGATTTTGTTACCATTCCTGTGAGCCCTGCCAAAAATACTCGCCATCAGCACTAACATTTTATTAAGAGAGATGATTAGTTCTGGTTCTGTATTATGGCTTTGAAATAAATCTATACATTTTCCCTGTCCATATTTAATTTTGTCTGCTCTCCATTTCTTTTCAGAATAAACCACTACCAACAGAGGCTTCAGTCTTTATACTTCAAGAAGAAGTTTGCAGAGAGGATAGCTGAGATCAAACCCAAAATTGAAGGTAGACAATGTCTGAGAATTATATCTAACTGTACCCAGCCACTTTATGGGCATCACTATTAAAAACATATACCTTAAAATTCTCTTGTTGCAATAGCAAAATATTGAAATGAAAAATAAAGAAAAAATAACTTTAATTTAATTGTGATATTAGATTTCAGCATAATATTATTTTGAAGTTAATAAAGTGTAACAAGTCATTGATCACATTGACCTCATTCTGTTCCCTGGGGGTAAAATATAGCCAGACACAGAAAGCCGTCTACTTTACTCACCAGCCAAAATGGAAAAGATAACATGCCATTCATCAAGTCTACGTTAAAACTGATAAAAGCTAGCTATAAGCTAACAGCCTAGCTGGCCTTTTCTGGCTTATAAACACAGGCAGACACCAGGTCACACTGTTAGTCCTTTAACCAGACGTGTCCGCTTCAGTTAGATGAGACTAAGGCCTTTTAAATGATTATTTTATGGTTGATCTATTTAGATGTAGTTGTTCTGCATCTTCATTAATTAAAATGTCCCAACATCGAAAGAGGGGATTTAAAGTTGACCTACCAATATTCTACCCTGATCCACCTCTGGTTGTCTCTACAAACACTATGTACTATAAAGGTAATGTTAAGGACTAACTGTAAATAAATGGTGAATACTTTAAGGTGACTTCGTACTGGTCTCTTTTTAAAGGCCCTGGGAACCTTGTTTACATTTATTTCATAAACTACAAGAACATTTTTGAAATAAATCTTTTGGCCTCTGCTAAAAAAAATAAATTGGTAGAAATTGCGTTTTTCTGAATAGGAGCCATTAGATTTGCCTAAAAATTCACAGACACTCATTCTTTTCCCACAGTCATTAGAGTTCCTTAGACCTAAATCCTGCAGAAACCCTTAGAGCTGAACATAAGAGGATCCATGAGTCTGGACTTCCTATTCTAGAGGGGTTGTTCAAAGCATAATGGTCAAAGATTAAATGTTAGGATTGTGTAAAATGTAACCGGCAGGAGACAATCAATATGCTCAAACTAAAGGTGGGATTATCTTTCAATGAGATAATGATACTGCAATAAAATGCTGGATTTGTTGAAGGTTTTCCACTATTTCTACCAGGCTTTCCTATAAAAGTGCCTGAAACTCTATAAAACCAAACTGATGTCTTTTTAAGTGAGTTTTTCTTCTTTGTTGTTTTAGCTCTTACCAAGGCTTCTAAGGAGATATTACACAGCAAAAACCTAAAGCAGCTGCTGGAGGTGGTGCTCGCTTTTGGAAACTACATGAACAAGGGTCAGAGGGGCAATGCGTATGGCTTTAAAGTGTCCTCACTCAACAAGATCGCTGATACCAAATCTAGTATTGACAAGTAAGATTTCCCTCCTTAATAGTTTTCTAGACAAGTTATAAATCTGACAGGCGCTGCTAATGTTTTCTCTTTCTGGTAGGGCTCTTTTTATCAATTTAGCCCATTTACTCAATTCTTTGTATGTTTTGATCTCAGAAACATTACTCTGCTGCACTACTTGATCACCATCCTAGAGAAGAAATATCCCAAAGTCCTGAAGTTCCAGGAAGACCTGCAGAGTGTCTCAGAGGCAGCTAAAGTCAAGTATGTGAAGCGATGGTGTTATTAACTACTAGATATTGTTAATGTTATTTAAATCAATCGGAAAATTATACTTTTGTTGCTCTAATCTGTAATCTCACTCTGAGGTTAGATATGAATCTTGTTTTTTCTTTTTCTCCATTATTTTAAACTTTCCAGACGGACTTAAAGTTTATTTTCTGGGACGTCTTTTGGTTGCCACATTAATGTAGCGCAGTTAAATAATCACAACTAAAACACAGACAAATTGGGTGAAAAAAATCGGGACTCTCAGCTACTTTTGCTTACTGTCACAATTTTTATTTGCCCATTAAATCATTGTGCTGAACTGGAGCGATATGGTAGGATATTCATTAGAACGTTGGAATCTCAGGGTACGGTGGCGGTCAGCTTCATCTCAAACTTAATCTCTCAAAGAGGATCCCTCTGTTCTCCAGACAATGATCGCCTCTTTTTTTCTTTTCTTTACAGCATGACAGAGCTGGAAAAAGATATCGGAAACCTGCGCAGCGGCTTAAAGAGTGTAGAGAGTGTGAGACAAACATTAACCTTACTCTAACACCTTTTCTATGATTTCAAACATGCATTCAGTTGCCACAATGTTGCCACATTGTTTTGTAATTGATTTCAAATGGCAGGAGCTGGAATTTCAGAAGAAACGCCCGCAGGAACCGGGCGATAAGTTTGTGTCCGTGGTGAGCCAGTTCATCACGGTGGCCAGCTTCAGCTTCTCTGATGTGGAGGACTCTCTAACTGAAAGCAAAGAACTGGTGAGTCAGTCAAACTGAAATGTTGGATTTCTAACTAAAACTGAATCGCATCAGAATTGCATCACTATCTGTCCTCTGGTTTCCTATCGGCTCAGCAGTTTTCATGCATTTCTTTAAAACTCATCAGTCACCTCAACAGGAAATTTGAACAGCGGGAGTGAGATGTTCCTGCTTCCTGCTACCGAACTCCTCATATGTTTATTGGTTTGACAAACAGGAGCCCAAATTCAAGACTATTTCCCAGTGTAATTACAACCGTCAGCTGTGTTAGCATGATGTATCAAGGATGCTGCTAAAGTACGAGCAGAACTGGCAGTTTAATGGGTTGTAGAACTGACTTAATAATTAGAGCTTAAAACCAGTAGTGTTCCTTTTATTTTCCTCTTATCTGAAATTGGCCTCACACTGCTAGATTTATTTATGCCTGTTTTGTCCATAAATTTGCATTTAAACTTACTTTAAAATGTATAGAGAAAATTATATATATTCAAGATATAAGAAGGAAGAAAAAGATGATGACTATGTAAAAATCCTTTCAAAGCTCCTTTGATCTACCTTATGGTTATAGGGCTGCTGTAAACGTCTTGTTTTTATATTCTCAGCATGATCCTGCATCTGGATGGTCTCCATTTTTACTCACTGTTCAAAACACCCAACAAACACACTGCCTTCATTTAGGCTCTGGCTCCAGCCCCCCGATCTCTGCTCTAATCAGTAGCCGGCCATATCTATACTAGCATGGGCTTCAAAGCTCCAAGCACTGCTCCCCTGCTCTGGTTTCAAAGGCCGGAGCCTTAATGAGTCTCCTGTAAAACAGTAAAAGACAGAGGAAGATGTGAGTGCCACAGTAAATCTAATTCCCTGCGCCCCTCTCTGTGTTCCTCTTCGCTTTGGTCCTGCAGTTCCTGAGGGCAGTGAAGCACTTTGGGGAGGATGCCGGCAAGATGCAGCCAGATGAGTTCTTTGGCATCTTTGACCAGTTCCTGCAATCCTTCAGCGAGGCTCAGCAGGAAAACGAGAACATAAGAAAACGAAAGGAAGAGGAGGAGCGCAGGGCCAAAATGGAAGCTCAGGTGTGTGACATGATTTACTGCCAAAATTTAATTTAAGCACATTTATGAAAAAACACACACAACCACTCATAACATGCACACATTACGCAGGAAAATCACTCTAGTTGCACCATTTAATTTGTTGTTTTATGATTCTTTTTATAGGGGAAAATTATAAAATAACTTGGTGCACAACTTTGATTTCTTTTTTTTTTTTTTACATTATCGCTTTTTCTCAGATAGTCAGAAATATAAATTCAGTTTCACTTCCATACAATTATCTCCTCTAATATTTGGTTAAATGCCATTACACAGTTCTGCAATTATGCTGGAATTACTTTATCTAGAAACTGAAAATTTGTTGTGATGTAATCTGTAATATATCTGAACCTTTTACAGGGTTTATACAGGAATGAGGAACTCTAATTTAATGTTTTTTTTATTTAATGCTCTTAGAAATAATTTTAATGCAATAAACAAGTACTCATGACTCTCATATATATATATATATATATGGAACAGTCCGATGAAAACCGTTCGGTTCGACTTTCTCGGTTCGATTCGCGTGTGTTGCGTTCAGTTCATGCGCGGCTCCTTTTTCTCATAGGCGAAGTGATTACACTCCAGAGCAGAAGGTGGCGGTACTGCGACCAAAGCCAACCACCAGTAGTAAACAAGAACAAGAAGCGAAGCAGCGTAGCCGGGTGTAGCAGAAAAAAATCAGTTGTTGTGGAGAATTGTGTGGGTATGGCGAGTGGAAAAGAACAGGAGTTGGAAGACGCGCCAGCAGCACTTTATAGGTCTGCTGTATGGGACCGCTTTGCATTTAGAGTGACCTACGATGACGGCGGAAAGAAAGTTGTGGATAAAAGTGCAACAGTGTGCAAGCATTGTGCAACACGTTTTGTTTATGCTTACAGCAACACGACCAACATGTCAGGCTAACGATCAACATATACCGAGCCGAACCGAAAACCGTGACCATGAAACCGTGAACCGAACCGAACCGTGGATTTTGTGAACCGTTCCAGCCCTAATATATATATATATATATATAAATAACACGGCATAATCCTTCGTCACTTTTCCTTCGTCAGGCTGCAGCCATGTCCTGAATTCCTCGTTTTCTAGCCACTTGTGTTGAATTTAGCATTTTCTCATCCTCTATCTTTTTCCCCGCCTCAAGCTTCTTTTCCGTACATACGGCTTTATGATCAACCTGAAGCAGTTCCGCACAAACATGCGGAACCAGTTTTCTTATAATATATCTGACGCAACTGCTTTTATAAATGTTTTTTTCTTTTAATCAAATCATTTTAAATGCTACGATAATCCCATTTAATGAATTTAAATGCAAATTAAGGCCTTCATTTAAAAAATAATTTAATGATTTTTAATGACCCACGGAAAACCCTAGTTTATCTTGTGGGTCTTGTTCTTTGGCAAACTGGTGACACGTCTCAGAAACTTTATCTAAGCACGCTTGCTTGAACTTATCTTGTAAGTCTGCATTTTATTTATTTATTTATTTTTTTTTTAAATGAGTCCAAAGCACTCTCTCAGTTTGTGTAAATCAGCCATTCCTCTTCAATTAAACGCTGTTAAACAAACCTTTTTGTGCTTAGTAATGAAACCAGCTTCAGTGAAAAATAACTGAAAATAAAACTGTTAGTAAAGCTTAGCCCTGTCAGCTGATGTATTTACATATATATGAACTTAAGAAATAATCCACGGTAAATTTTAACTTATGCTTACTTAAAATCTTAAAAAAAAAAAAAAAACCTTGAACAATGCAGATATCAGATGACTCTTTAAAAGTTCTAAATACACTGGATGCTTGCTGATGAACCAATTGTGCAGAACTTCCAGCTTAACAGGTTTTTTATATTTTTCTGTTTCTAATTTTGAAGCAGTTTAATTAAAATGAATAAGTTTGCAAAAATGCATCTCTATAAATCCACTATGTTTCTGTGTTATCAGCTGAAAGAACAAAGGGAGAAAGAGCGCAAGGCCCGGAAAGCCAAAGCAAATGGTGAGGACGACGGCGGCGAGTTTGATGACCTTGTGTCTGCGCTGCGATCAGGCGAGGTCTTCGACAAGGATCTGTCCAAGATGAAACGCAACCGCAAGCGGATCAACCTCCAGAACACGGACCCTAGCAGAGAGCGGCCGGTCACCAAGCTCAACATCTAACCGTCCATCTCTCTCTGCATTGCTTTCTCTCGGGGTCAAACCGACCTGCACATTCCTCTGCCCATTCATTCACCACCACCCAGGAAGGCATTAATTTATCATGACCGCGTCGCAGAGCCATGCACCACACAACACGTTCAGATACTGTCTGTTTTTCCTTATTCTGTTATTGAGAAATGAGAGGGTGCAGAAACCAAATGCCAATGAAGTGTGAGCAAACCAGTTCAGTTTGTTCGGACGAAGCTGGAGAAGAGCCTCCCTCCAGGTGTGGGAAATGCTCGTGGTTGTTTGATAGCATCCCTTCTGTGCTGCTTTTTTTACATCAGAATCTATGCACAAACTAAGATGTGCAGCTTTTAGTCTCCTTTAGAGCCGGGTGCGTTATCCAAAAAAGAAAAAAAAGAGAGGCCATTTTGTACAGACTGGTTTCATCAATCGAAAGGAGGCCAGGTTCAGGTACCAGAGGTGTCCCACAGAGACTCGCTGACTGTAACACTGGGACCGATGCGATTTAAACTAACAGAGAAGCAGGGATTTTTCTATTCAAACTGATGGGGAGCATTTATTATGTCATGTGTATGTTTCATTTGAACATTCTCCTGCTAAGAGCTGGCCTTGACTCTGTTGGTTTTATTTGTTTGGTGGGGTACTTTCACAACCTGAAGCCTCTCAAAGTGTGTGAAAACTCATACATAGACCACATATATCCAAATATAAGGGTGTGTGCCTTGCACATGCATATAGACGTATATAATTCTTACGCTAGATGCCATTTTAAGAACAGAATACAATTCTTGCAATATATTTCCTCACCACTGAAGAGAGTCACCCTCCTCCCCTCCAATGTCTTTATTTGAACAAATTAAATATGTTTTCAGCACACTGGCTGGATTTCCACTGCATTAAAAAACCCATGTATAAGTTACTTTTTATTTGTATTTCTGCTTTGTGAATCCATCCCATGTCAAAAAATCCCTGCTCAACTTTTATAATTTAAATACTGCCTTCCATTTGATCAGATATTAATAATTATTATAATAAATGGGAGAAATTACGTTTGAGTTATGTCTTGAACTTTGTTTAAATCATAAATATCCGACCTGGGGCTCCACCTAGTGGTCAGTTATAGTTGCAACACTACATAAAGCATGTTGATGAATGAAGACACACTGTCTCAGTTTTCCAGTTAAATTGTTATTGTTATTTTAGTCATGAGTTTCCTTTATTAAATCTCAGGGGAAAAAACGTCACAAGATTTCAAATAACATCTTGCAGTGGTACAAGCACTTCATATCTGTCGTATCCTAGAGTCATCAACCTGCTTAAAGTGACTCTCACTGTAGCAGAAACCCCTGGGCCAGCTTGTCCTCCGGCTCTTGCACAAAGCGGGAAACTCCGGTGTAAAAAGCTCGGCCAGCGACTTCCACCACAACTGCCCTGAAGTCTCCGCAGGTGGTCTCCTGAGGAGGAATGGAAACATCGTTCACTTCGTATGGATAGGATAAGGTCTGTGGGGAGTCACAGTTTGCTCAATTTAAGAGCCAGAACTGAAGGTTTTTCCTGCTCATGTGGAGAACTATCTTACTTTAAATAAAAAATACCAATAAATCAGAATGATGCTCAACTTAAAAACCTGTTTTTCTAAATATTTTTCCAAACTGTATCTCAATGTCAAGTTTAAGGCATAAAATTTTTATTTCCTTTCAATTAAACCTAATCTTTATCAGCCCCCCAGAAGAAGTAAAAATGGAAGAAAAAAACAACTTAACACAATACTCATGGCTCGTTTAATAATCTGTTCTCTAGATTATGGTTTGACTGTTAGAAAAAATAAAAGATAAAATCTGGAAACATGTCCTCTCAAATTGATTAGGAGCCCAAAGCTAAATGCATACTGATGACATTAAAAAATATATATATTTTAAAATCTATTTATCTTGTTCCCACTTCAGTTATGAAGTAATTGGCTCAGTTAAAATTCTAGCAAAAAATGTATTTATGGTTTTGACTTCACAAAGTGTAAAATCCTTCTAGGGATATGAACACTTTTGTGTTGAATTGCATGGTGAGTATTTATTTCAGCCATTAGATGGAAAAACAAATAAATCCATGTAATCAGTGAAGATTTCTCCTGCCTCAACAGCTTTTCCTGTAAACTGTGATCCGGTGGCTCCGCTCTGAAACGTCCTGGTCTGGTTCAGCTGGATGAGACCTTTGTGATATTGAAGAGCCACTCGAGCTGTAACACCTGAGCCGGTGGGGCTCCGGTCCACCTGCAGGAGACACAGTTAAATTGATATATTATTTGCCAATATGTCTCTGGGAATAGATGTCCCAGAGCTAGATGTTAGCCCAGCAACTTAGCTTTTACAAGCAAATGGAGACCATATATGGAAATCTGAAAATAGAAATAGGGGATAAGAACTAAGGGGTTAGAAAAAGGGACAGGAATGAGTGCATAAAAAGAGAGAAAATAAAACTGTAAATAGAGAAACACAGAAGATATAAAGTAGCTCCTAGACGTCTGCTTCCAAACCTGCATGAGGCGAGAGGGACAGAAAACGGAGAACATCACAGAAAAAAAAATAAGGCAACAGACAACCAAAGTAAACCTCAACAAAAAGCTTCAAGAGCAGTGTGCATCCTTATATATCCGTGTGTGTGAAGTCAAAAACTTATGGTGATTACATATTATACAGGTTGGTGTATATATATATCTGTAGCTGCAGCTTAGTATTAGTGTGTATCCGTGAACACCTGGAACCAAACTCCTGTGGTATGTATGCATGAGCATGCTTGTGTTTAAAGGATTTACAAAGCTGCTTCAGAAGGAAAGTGTACTTAATAGCAGGTGTGGGTGGCCCCAGACCCACCCTACAGGGCCACGGATTAATAAAGATGCAAACCTGGCCCCAGATACCCAAAGGCACCTCAGATCATTTGGACACAAGGAGGGAAGTCATAGGCAGCCAGTCAGGGCCAGGGTGGACCCGCTGAGAGTCCCCAGTGTCCAGGGGCTCACCACCCCACAGCAGGGACCTCACAGGGCCAGGAGGCCCAGGCCCGGCCCCGCAGCGAGCAGGAATTTCACTTTTATTTTTGAAATAAATGTCTGCTTTAAGACCAAATTGGAATTATAATTTGTTATTATTTAGACGCCCCTGCCGAAGCGAGGCTTAAAATATGAAATCTGTAAAAACCAGAGTAAGACAGATGGATGTGCAACAACATACCTGAGCTTCGGCGAACACACAGATGTTAGCAGTGGGTTCAGGGGAGAATTTATCAAGTCCATCTGTGAGGATGGTCCCATAAAGGAAAGCCAGATCGTCACTGATTGGATGGTGCAGCTTCACCTGCAGAGACCAACAGGATTAAGGAGAGGCATGTTTACAGACGGGTAATGGGGGGAAGCTTGTATATATGTGCACCTAGAGAGAAAACTCTGATTTCATTAACATCATGATGAGAATCGTTTCTATTCCTTTACAAAAAAAGGGTTTCCTACCTGGGATTTAACAGCTCTTGTAACTGCCGTCGCTGCGTCTACAAGATCCCGAGTCCTGGACTGCTTCACATCCAGGCCAAACCTCTGCGCCTCAACAAAGGCGTAAAAAGCTCCCCCATAGCTGATGTCCACCATCACCTCACCAAACCCCTCCACCTTCACCATCACATCTGGTGTAGAGTCATTCATTCAGAACTTCAAACCACCTGACTATAACTTGTGTGGAAATAAAAATAAGACCTCCCACCTGTAGCGAAGGCAAATGCTGGCACACTCAGAAACCTCACTGCTCCCGTTTTACCTGCAGAGTACTCCACAAAAGCCTTGACCAGCCCACAGGGGCAGTGTATGTTCACCTGCGTCTCTGGGGACTGAGGCTCCTTCACCAGCTTATAGTCCACGGCAAAGCGGCCCAGGGCGATGACGGCGTGCCCACACATCGTGCTGTAGCCCTCGTTATGCATGAACAGCACACCCAGGTCTGCCTCGGGCAGCTCACTGTCCACAATCAGAGCTCCGTACATGTCATAATGACCCCGGGGCTCGTACATCAGCACCTTCCTGAGCTGGTCAAGGTGCTCCAAGACATACCTACGCTTCGAGAGCACACTGTCTCCCCTGACTTCAGGGTAGCCGGCCACAATAATACGGAGAGGTTCTCCTCCTGTGTGCATGTCGACCACAGAGAGCTCCACTCCCTGATGTGGAGGAAGCAGCAGCTCCATCGCACATCTGCCCAAAGAAATGAAAAACACACATTGATTTTTACCATAACTTTGCTCCAATTAGTGGAGCCTGATTAAAGTTTAATGCAACACCTTTCCCCTCATGACAGAAAGCAATACATGAAATCACTAAATTAGTAAAAATAGACTTTTTATGAAAGCTTTAAAACTATTAATAAAAAGAATGGCCTCAGACAGAGGGAATAACAAATGGCACACCAACTGCGCTATGCAACAAGGTGGTGGCTGCATCATGCAAGGGGATGGCATTCCTTCAACAGAGAAAAGAAAACTGGTGACAGTTTAAAACAATGGTAAATGCTGATCACTTTAGTGATGGCAAAGACTAGAGACTGAAGCGAGAAACAAGGTTTAAGGATTTAGAATAAGTCATTAGAGGCAATCTGCAGCTGGTCTGACTGAGCAGAGTGTTTAAGGGAGACTCTAAATGTACAATCTGTCATATGATAAAGACTTAAAGCTGGAAGTGAAGCAAAATGTGAGTCTAAGGACACACTTTTAGCACTATTATTTATACGAGAAAGTAGATTAAAAGTAAAACAACATCTAATCCCCTTAATGATGTGAATAAATACACTGTGACCAAAATAATAATAATAAACTTTATTGTCATTTCATTGTCACCCTCGGGGAGCATGTTCATGTTAATGTCTAAACAAGGCAGAAAAAAAACAATAAGATGAGGACTTTGAAACAGGGATTATGCTTTTAATGATTTGGAAAAAAAGCGTGAATGATGTTTCGCTTCTTGAAAAGCTGCGAAGCAACTAAATCATGGCAAATACTTTAAGGTGAACAGCTTTAAAGTTGTAGTAGCGACACTGAAGCAGCGATACTTCCCTCAACAGAATGTCAAAAAGAAGAAAAGGCTATTTAAAAAATAAAAAAAGGATTTCTGGTCAAAGTCAAACTTTTGAAAAACTGAATCAATGTTTTAAGGGATTTTCCAAATGTTTTGTTTTACCTGATCGGATCGGAGTCAACGAGAAAAAAGTTGAAATTTGGCGCCACCTGTTGGTCTGGAGGACCAAATGAGGCACCCCGCTAGTTTAGACTTCTTCTTCTTAGACTATGTGAATTGCCGCCATCAAGTGGACGGAGATGTAATTCAGAAAAGAATAAAATAAAATTTCCTACTAAATCCTCTCATCCAATGTTGTGTCTTTTAAATAAAATATAGATACGTTCTTTAACTATATAATGTGATTGCTAGTTTAGACACTAACAAATAGTGATTAAAACAGAAGTTATTACCCAATGTGTAATACATTAGATTACCATTAGAAAATAAAATAAATCAAAATATCAGTGGCATATTTCTTTCCCCATAAATCATATAAATAAAAACATCTGTCATAAATGATAAATATCTCCTAATTGGTGTTTAGGTACTTTGTGTGTTGTTGCTATACACTTGCTTAACCGACTTATTAACAAAACCTTTGTAAAACTTAAATATTGTTGCTTGTCCTGTTTTTTAGTAGGGAGCTGTAATTGATCAATAATCTGTTGCTACTGCAAATGAATGTTAATAATCCCTCTGTGAAATTAGCCTCTGTAAACTAGATCTCATTAAGGTTTTTGGATCCACAACAATATGTTGTGGAAATCCTCTAACAGTGAACAGTTGATGAAAACGGGAATTCCACCAAAAAATAAATAAATAATTCTGAAGGAGAATGTCTGAGCATCAGCTCTTAGCCTTAAGATAAAACAAACTCAGGTTATACAGCAGGATAATGGTCTAAACCACAGTTCTGCAAGCTTTAATTTCCAAAATATATGACTTTTTAATTAAAC